GGCTCAATCTTGAGATTTGGTGAAGAATTAACGATGATATGGCTTGCCGATCAAAAACACCATCGATAAATAATATAAACTCCTCCTGTCTCGATCATAGAGACCTCAAGTCGACGATATGAGACATGTATCCAATGAAAGTACTACAATTAATGTCAGGTTGTGTGGATGCGAACCCTATGCCTTGCGTTATCTCGAAAATAGTACGTTTTTGGGCTTAAAAACGCAGGATCCGATAGTTCCGGGGGAACTTTCCTGGTCTTGCTGTACGCATCAAAATCTTCAAGGTCCAATTTGTCCCGCATCGATCTACAGACCTACCACCGTTCCAGTATTGAAACCTAGCAAAACGTTTGTATCGACTTTATTTATTTTAGAAAGAAAAACAAAAGAGGAGAATACGATTCGCTAACCCCCCGTGAAATTCTGAATCCAACGGTACCCCATTCATGGTATTTGAGCATGACAGGAGCTTATATTTGGTACAAAACCGATTTCGAGCCTTACTGTAATAATATATGTACGGATAATTATATAGATTTATAAACATATTTACAGTGGAAAATTTAACACTGTCAAGAAATAAAAATCGGCTCATGCTGTAAAACTGTACATAGTTAAGGGTACAAAAGTACTTTAATTAAGTACAGTTACAGGAAAGTTATTAGCGAATGACTCAAGAGATAGGGCGCCTTCGTTTTCTTTCGGATAAATCCGGACGCATTCGGCACTTTATAAACCAGTGTGATCAATGTGATTGTGAATCATGTGTAATCTGTAACTCATGTGAACTAGTACCAAAATAACGAATACTGTGAACATCGAGAAAAACGCGGAAATGAACGAATTTTACAACTGATCGAATGAATTCGCCAGGCACATGCCTTAGCTTCTAGACTTCACACAACCATTTTGAGCAACTCTCTCGCTGAAGAAGTTCCGTTGCAAATTTATATGGTGACAATTTTTTTTTCAATATTCAAAAAAAATTTTTTAATCTCTACAATGTACAATACAATGTTTCTCTACCTTCGGCAGTGCGGAAGCAAAACACTGAAATAACTTCAGTTCTAAAAATGTCGTTTCCTCAAATATCACTAAGCTATGGAATTATAAAAGAATAGCTAAAAATACATCAATTGAAAAAGAAAAATCTGATAAACTTGCAAATTGGTCCAGCGTATCTGAATTTATAAACAGAAGAATAATAAAATTCTATGATTCTTTAAAATATTTAACCAATGGAGAAATTCAATAAGGTAACATTTCTGCCGGCTCCTCGGCGATGGCAAAATATAGATGTGAGGTAGATTTTAAGTTAGTCTCAAGAAAATTGAACACCCCGATTGAAAGTCAAGAAATAAAAATAAACAGAACTAAGAAAGGCTGAGCAAGACAGAGAAGGTGCGTTGAGTAGGAACCTGACCGATTCCTTCAGAAGCTTGTTCAGGGTGCTTAGGAAATGAACATATCAAAAGTCCTTACTCCTAGGGGGTGTAGAAGGAGAGGAGAGAAGAAGGGGAAGAGATTTTTTTTTTCGTTTTCGAAAATGTCAACTTTTTCAGAGCGTGTTACTCGAAAACGGTTGAGAATTCGGGGAAACTTATTGAATAACAGTTTTAGATAATTTTATAATATTTCATATATTAATCGAAAATTTTCCTCTAAGAAGCACCGTTTTCGAGATATAAGCCGAAACCTGAAAATTGTGATCTTCCCCTCTCCCTGGGCTCACCACTTAAACATCAGAACTTCAGGATATGTTCACACCCTAAGCACCTTGAACCACAGGCGGATTTACGGAGAGGGGGCTTTCGGGCTGAAGCCCCCCCCCCCCAAAATGGTAAAATGTATCCATGTTTTATAGTAAAAAATATTAAAAAATTATGTCTTCAAGTATTATTGCTCGCTTAAATACATTTAATAGGACTTAAGAATCACTTAAACATCATTTAATATAGGTAGTTAGTATCTTTCTGTTTTCTAAAGTAATTATCGTTATATATATGAAAAAAAAAGCTTCCGGGCTGAAGCCCCCCCCAAAATTAAATCCTGGATCCGCTAGTGCCTTGAACAAGTTTCTGAAGGAATTCCCTACTGAGGCACTCTATACTTCATTCTTTGACTGGATTATAATGTATGTAACCTTGATTGCTTCTGTACTCACGATGTCTTAATTGGTGAAACGTTGATGAGTTAGGTTAATTATCTATCGCCATTTTAGAGATAGGGAGTTTATTTTTTAATTATTCAGATTATCTTAGCTATGTTGTGTTAATTTATCTTAAGTAAGTTATTGAAGAAAGTTCTACATATCATGAGTGATAGATTATCTAGCAGCAGTCAGTATATTAAGATTTTTATTTCTCAAAAAAGTCGAAATATCTCTTCAGAATTAATGTCCGTTTGTAAAACATGTATATTTATATCTGATATATGTATTTAAAAAAAAAAACTATTTTGATTCTAAATTTACAAAAAGATGACCAAGGAAAAATATGTCTTTATCTTATTTGCTTAGAAATCTCATCAGCAAAAAACAAATATTTCTTTAAAAGAATTTACCAATAAGATTTATGGCGTAAGGAAGTGATACCAAACCACGCAAAAATATCGTTTAACTCGTAAACAAATTTAATTTTCATTTCATGGGATAGAAAAGAAAATTTTATTCTGGGACATTTAATCAAGAATAATTATAATGATCGATTTGGTGACATTTGTCTGACATAAGAAGATCATCAAGAATTAATTGAATTACATGGTTATCGAACCTTAAATTTAAAATGACAGAAAGGCACAGATTAACATTTGAATATATATATATATATATATATGAGCATGCTCACATATAAACAATAGATAATATATAAGATAAGAACAAAATGAGATTGACATCTATAAAACACAAAAATATTATTGTTACATTTATTCGGAAGATTGATTGTAGAGATGTAAAAATAAATAATGTTTAAATGGAGTTAAGGATGAGGATTTGCGTACGGAAGTAGGTAGGTAATGCCGGAACAAGGCAGCACGTATGAGAAAGGATTTTTAAATGAAACAGTTCTACGAAAAGGAATAAAAAGGTTTGTGGCCAGGGTTCTCGAGATGAACCAATGGATCGAGGAACAAGGAGTAAATAGATCAAGAAAGTAAGCGGATTTTTGTTGTTGTAAAGGTTCGGAAAAAGTAAACACCTAGGAGATATTGCCGTCGCAAAACTGGATAGAAGCAATTCGGCGTGCTATCTGGAGACGAGGGAGTGCCTGGTTTTTCGGCCAAAGATGAATCTAATGAAGCTATTCATGAATCTTTTAAATCTGATCTGAGGCCTTCCAGACAGTCCACCGTATACAAGGCAGTGATAATTAAAGTGAGGAAAATGAGAGAGCAAACTAGGAGCTGATGGGTCTTTACATGCATAGGATCACAGAACCTCAGGAACTGTTTTAGGGTTGCAATAGATTTTCGGATAATTTCAGAAATCTGTTTGTTCCAGGTGTGTATATCTCATCGTTTTTGTCTTAATGTAATTTAAAGTGTCTATAACAAACTAGAAGAGGTTGTGGAAGTTGGATAACCGATTTCAATGAAACTGTTTTCACTAATACAAGGTCGAAAAATATTAGACCCTTGTCCGAGGGTTCTTGCGAATGCGCCCTCAAAATTGAGTCCAAAAATTAATATTTTTTGTTTCAAAACAAATTCGTAATTAATTGGCCTAGTTTACAGGAGGCGTCTTTGAATTTTTGTAATTTTTTATACATTAAAATTTGTTAAATACAATTAGCAATATGTTTTTCTAATTTTACAAAAAAAAAAAAACATATAATAGATTGTTACATAAAACTTTAAAACCCAGGCAAAGTCACAACACAGTAATATAAAAAAAACGCTGCAAATTATTTCACAATGGTTTATTATTTCCAAACAATTATACATCTAAAGTAACATTACCGTCTAGTTACAAAGAAAAATAAATAAAAGGTGATTCCAATTATTGGACTAAACTTTTTTTTTAATCATTAGTAATATGCTAAAAAAAAAAAATAGCATTGCTACAGTGACACATTCAAAATTTAAAAACCAAACAAAGGATATAACATTTGGAGTAGAACATATAAAAAAAAAAAAACCGGAGACCATATCTTTGCTCCTAATTATCCGATTTTTTGGGAGGGTTTAAGGAAATTTCGTAAACTTTTAAAAAACCATATACAACATAAAAAAAGTGTATACTTTTTGAGTTATTCGGGATTAAATTTTACCATCCCTCGTAACTTTTTTTCCAGCTTCTTTTCGTTGAAGTATGTTATATAGATAAATTTAAAGGGCGTAGAGAAAATGACTTTAGCAAAGTTTCCTTGAAATCGCTACATTCGTTTAGGCGCTACAGTCTATAGAAACGCAGGTTTTTCAGCCGCCATTTTGAAAGTAAAATCGATAATAATGTCGATGAAGGAGGATCATCCTCGGGTGACATCTGATTTTATATCCAAATTTGAAAAAAATCGGTCCAGTAGTTTCGGAGAAAATGCGCGGACGGCGGACGGACAAAAAAAAATTGTAATAGTTTTTCGAATTCTACGCATCCTGAAAGGTGAAACCTCAAATTTTGAGAGGGAGTTAATTTTTTAATTTTTTGGTCGATCACAATGGTTCATTATTGAAAATATTAAACCAATAATAAAATTTTATATAAAAAAATTTTCTCTGCTTCTAAGCGCATTCGCAAGAACTCTGAATTTTCAAAACCTTCCATCAAGCCGAACCTAGAACGGTCAGTTAAGTGATATTTCGCTACTATTAGTGCGCAAAAAACCGAATTATTTCTTTCTGATTTATTAGTACAATTTTATATTTTATTTCCCTCTGATATTTACCTATTTAGCAGACTACTTGTAGTAGTTGCAGACAACAAAATATAAACTGTATCTCAAAGAGACTAAACGTTTAAAAAAATTACATACGACCTTTCGCACTAACAGTAGCAATATGTTAGATTTGATGGATATTAACAAGTCTATTTTTCAATGTCAGTGATTTTTCGCCATCAACTAAGGCCTTATCACGAAATACGTTTAATGTAACACAAACAGTAGGACTGTATATTTATATGCTTATGTAACTCCTTTAGTACACCTGACAGAATAGTGAATTTTCACGAGTGACTTCCACTGCCCAGGATGGGAGATACTACAGAAGATGATCGACGAAGTGGGAAATCTGAAGTGATCGTAGTAAGCGACATCGTAGTTCAAGATTCAAGACGTCATAGTTCAAGTGTGCAGAGAACAAGTAATATCAATAATATAATTTAAATGCTGAAATATTACGATATAAATATAGTCGAACCTCTTTGTATAAGTTCTTTGAAAAAAAAAAAAATCGATACATAAAAAGTTATCAATTTTTAATTTCTACAACCTATGTATAAAAATATATAAGAGCGGGAAGTAGTACGATCGTGAAAAATTTCGAGTCTAATTTTCTTTAAAAAACTCAACTGATTATGAAATTAAAGCTTGTTAAACGAGAAAGATTTTCCTAAAAGTGGAGTAAATATAGTTCAGTTCAACAGAGATACAAAAAATCTGGTGCGGTGCGCGCATCATACAACTTTCACTTACCATAGCAGATACTAACTTTTCTTAGCAGAAATTAATATTATCAGATGAAGCGAATTGATAGTAAAAATTATTGACTCTATATTTATTTATATTTCATTGTGAGTATTTTTATATGTATAAATATCCTCATATATGCAAATTTTAATATTTATATCACTGTAATCTATACAATTAAATATTAAATATACCAATGATAGCAATTCCGTATGATATGCTCATGTTATGTATGGAAGCCTGTTTTAATCTTTCGGGTGAGCTCGGGTACACTCGTATTCCTTTGGTTCCTCTATTTCAACTATTATTCGTTACGATCTTCTATTTCCTTTTAGTTAATTATCAAATTATTTCATATTTTATATTTAACAATTTTTATATCGAAGATTAATGTGAAATGGTTCATTATTTCTAATAAAAAAAATTAAAGGTGCGTTAGGGGAAACTAATATTGAAAATTAGCCATTTAAGCCCTGATAGAGAGCATAAATGAGAATAAAACCTACATAATATTAAAAACTGCTTGATGATACACTGATATACTGAATTTTATCAAAATCGTTAGAGCCGTTTTGGAGGAAATCTTAAAAATAAATTAAATCGATAATATAAAATGCCACTTCCGGTAAGTCGATAGAAAAGTTGCTGTAACATCCAAGGTATATAAAAACCTTAAATATGAAATTTCACTTTCATAAGTTTCGTTTTTGAGCTAGAATGATCACATACATACACACACAGACCATTCTGCGGGACTTGGAGTTGGTTATTTAAAATTTTCGAGAGAGGTAAATTTGACGGGGTTTTGAATTTTTGAGGGCAGGAAATGGCATAAACAAGACGTTTAGGCATAATTTAGCTTTCCAACGGTTGTAGTAATGTTGAGTTTGAGGAGAAAATCCTGAGGAGTTATGAATATTTTAGTGAACGGCATGAAAAAAAAATCCTCCCATAAAATTAGACGCTAAAAATGAATCAGAATAGTTTTTTTTTCATTATTAAAACTTTATCTGGCCTACTTTATTACAAGCACCTTTTTTTTTTTTTTGTGTAATTTATTATATATAAGAATTCGTTTAATTCAAATATGAAGTGTTTAAATTTTATTGTGTAATTTGCCTAGAATTACTTTTAAAAAACAAATAGCTAAAGTAAAACAAATGAATTCTTAGACATTAAACTTTAATTGCACCCCATTTGAAATATTCAATTTTTAAGAAAAATAAAAGACAAAAACAGCGTGCCTTCAATTCAATACAATATGATAAATAATAACATGTTTAAAATATTTCATGGACTATTATCAAATATAATATTTAATAAAAGTTTATAAAACTTCATTTCCTTTTTTCAGGATCAAATAGTGCCTGTTCAGCAGACTTAGAAACAGCAATTACAAAAACAGGTAAATTTTTTGCTGTGTTTTCACAATTAAAGTTCCCTTATGACTAACCTAATTAAAATAATTGTAAAGTGGTACATATCGTATATAATTACTAGTATTAATTATCTATCTATTCAATCATCTAAAATCTACTCAGCCACAATAATTCAATATAGATAACATATGTCCAATGCTATACATAACCATAGGCACAGACTTCGGGGGGAAGTGGGCGAAAGCCCCCTCAATTAAAATAGAGAGGAGACAAGAATATCACTTCGCCCCCCCGTAATATTTCAAGAAACAAAAATAAAATCATAATTATAACAATTAATCTACACGAATGAATGAAATATGTAAACTAAAACAATTAAAAAGGAAAAATCGACCGGATGGCTAAGCTAAGGCTTAGAAGTAGACACGCAAGTATTTTACAGCACCCAATGTTTCTATTATAGAAATTTTAGTTTATATTATAATTAAATGTAGCAAACATATCCTAGGTTTTTATGATTCATGCACACTTCCACACCACATTTCTTATTTTTATTTATATATGCGTAATCATGATAAGTTTCATCTGTTCTCTGGAAGGATAATAGATGAGTTCATTTATTGTAAACCATTTGAAAAACAGAACCTATGATCCATATAAGACAATATAAAAGAAAACTTAAAGTATATAATAATATGCTTTATTTATTTTGGAACAAGTCCCTTTAAAATAATACAATTGTGGGCTTTGGAGCCAAATATTACATTATAAGTTGACTAACTTTGCAATCTAGTCAAAACTAATTATTTATGTAGATATTTACAGAAAGAGATACTTACAACTGTTTGGGAACTAGAAGGATAGGAAGTGATTGAACAGGCGGGATTTAAAGGTGGGTAGAGTATTGCAGTGATCGATGTAAGAGAGGAATTTGATAAGGAAAAGGATCAGAAAAAATAGATCTGTCGAATGTTGCGTATTGGTGGGTATAGATCTGAAGAATTAGAGCGGGGATTGTGGGAATGAACCGAGGATTTGAATTTTTATTGAGAAATAGAAAGACTGTAATTTTTCAACGTTGACAAAAATATTATGCTCATTCTAATTGTAAAACCTCATAATTCTACAATGGGTGACTTTCTAGGAGAGAGAAAAAAAGTGAACCCATTATTTGGCTATTTTGAAGTCAATTAACTCAGAATTTTTCAAAATATTTTCAGTTAATAATTAAATAAAATCATCTGTTGGACCTTATTTAATAGAGTTGCTGGAGTTATACACTTTATATAAAGTTTTTTTTTTAATTCTTTGAAGCTTAGGTTTTTTACAGGTATATTCCTAGCATTCGAACCTGTCAGAATCTACAATGAAGGGACTGGCCATGCGATCAGACAGAAGATAAGGTGCAGCCCCATCAGTAAGGTGCACACCCATTATATACATGTAATATAGTGGCAGAGTTTGTAACAACAATTATAGTGCAAAATTGTTGAATCCTAAATAGTTTCTAAAAAAATTTCCAAAATAAATGTAAAATAAGAAATTTAATTAATAAAGAGTTTTATTCGCATTAGGGGGCATACCTATAAACCAATGTACTAACCCACTACTGTCAATACCTCATTTAAACAAAAAATCTAAAATTTATTAAAAGTGACTATTTTGAAGAGGTTTAAAAAATAGAAAATTATATATACATGTAATATAGTGGCATAGTTTAATAATAAATATAGCAGCAAAAAAACAATTATAGTTGAAATTTTTAAATTATAACCGAATTTGCTATTTTATTCACTACGAATGTATCACTTAATTTTGACATTTTTATCATTATGGGTTTAAGGTGCATTTAGACATTCTACAAACTATGGGAGACACAATTATCTAACATAACTTACAGCGACATTATTGTTAAGCCAAACTTTTGTTTATTTTCCCTTGTTACCAACAGTTGTAAAATATCAATAACAAGAAAATAAACATGAGCATAGGGAAACAACTATTTAAATATTTATGAAACCATTTTTCCATAGTTTGTAAAATGTCTGAATCATAGATGGGGAACCTACAGCCTTTAGACCGCATGTGGCCTTTATGAACTAGATAGACATTTTTACACAATATTTATTGATTTAGTACTAGAATTAATTAATATTTAATTTTTTAGGTTACAAAAGTTTGAAAATTAATAGAATTAAGTTGAATATATGTATATGGTTGTGTATGTTTAGTAATGAATAAAAATAGCAACAGTAAAAAAACATATAAAGAATTGTGGCGGCTTTCATTAGCACTGTTCAACATTAATGCAGCCTGTAATGATAAGAAAGTTTCCCATACATTGTTTAAATGCACCTTTATATAAATATCATTTGTTTTTTTCTAAAAATAATTTTGCCTTTTTTTGTAAATGACATGAATGACTACTAATTTGTAAAACAGCATATTTGTACATTTCTGTTCTTAATCTCTCAATGTAAATATGGTAAAAACATCACTGCCTAATGTATCTTGTCAAATATACTCTCCAGAAAAATAATGAATTGTTAGATTTGCCTTTTTTTTCATATTTTTTTATTTATGACTTATAGTTTCTTCATGGCTGAAAACAATACAAGATTTTGCAGCTAACAATATAAAACAGATTTTTAAAAATTCTCTTAATATATCCTTTTATAGGATGTGGGAAGTTCAACATTGCCTTGCTTTTACTCTCATTTCCTGTATCATGTACCAGTGGCTTCGATACAGGTTCGATGTCTTTTGTGATACCAGCAGCATCAGTGGACTTAGGCCTCACGTCATCTGAAAGAGCGCTGTTACAATCATCATGCTATGCTGGTAAGATATTTATATATATAATTATATGTATCTATTTTAGGCCAAAGTTCACCAAATATACACAGTTTTTTATCTCCTGTATGCTTTATTCAATGTTTCGGCTTCAGGAGCCATTTTTAAGATCCTGCAAAACTAATTTTAATTTAGTTTTTACCATTCAAATACATCTTTATCAGACACATATTACATCTAATTAAAATTTCTTCCATTTTTCTTCATTTATTTTATTCCGTCCTGGGTCGTGTGCTGGCCTCCCAGTTGAATTTAATTTTCTAGTCACATAGCCGAAACGTTGAATAAAGCATACAGGAGATAAAAAACTGTATAATTGGTGACCTTTGGCCTAAAATAGATATATGAAAAATTATGAGAAAATGGCACCAAACCTGAAGGATGTGACTAGAAAATTATAATTATATGCTCTCTATGATCTCAAGGCAGCTTCACGTTTTCTACCTTTATGACAAGTTAAAGTCTTCTCTTCCATTACGCAATTATGCAAAAAAATTTCCTCACATCCTTTTTATACCAAACTATCAACTCCCATCACCCTTCCTATATCTACAATTCAAACCAATGGTCCACTCACAAAAAACAAGATCTCGTATTTCTGATATCTATACCACTTCCCATTAAACGTTCCTTTCTTGCCCGCTTCACTATCTTCAGGAATTCTCTATGATTTATATTTGCCATACTCCTTTCCTTTCTTCATTGAAATCTCACCTTTTCCACAACCTTCTCACATCCCAAGCAGTTCTCCAATAATTAAATATTGATTTAAGAATTAATGTTGATTTGGAGTAAATAATAGTTTAATATTATTAATAAATATTTATATTTTAGCTGTATTTTTAATTTTTTTCCCTCTTTATTTTTTCTTATATTTTTTTAAAGATAATTATTTGTATTCACAAGATAATTTTTTTCTTATTTTTTGTGTATATAACTTTTTATGGCTATTGTCTTTAGAATAAAATATGTAAAAAATTCATCACTTTATTTATGTAACAATAACCCTGTATCTATAGTTAAAAGGACTTAGGAAGATTACAAAAATCAGAATGAAAGTATAGTTTAATCCAAGTATGAATAATTTCTTATCTATCTTCATCTTTATTTAATCCTTTTGGTCACTAAAATATCGAAGATTTTCTTTACTATCAGTCTTAATTTGGTTTTCTTCAAATATAGTGGACCTTTTCTCTTGTAATATTTCTTCAAAACATTTCAACGACTGAACTAGAGATTAAGTTATTATAATTTGTTTGTGGTCTGGTGTCAAAAAACTTTTAACTCTAGCTAAAAAAAAAAAAGCTAGTGCGAGGGTGCCTGAATGATCCTTGTTTATTACATCACAAATAGTTAAGCCCTATGATAGATATAGAGACAAATTCTCACTGTAGCAGATAAGATCAAAAGCGTCTGAAGTCTGCTAGCCATATTCATACTCGGGTCTTAAGGATCATATTTTAACCAGAAATCAACTCAGAAGTCTAGTATGTAAAATTTGTTATCAAATTACATTTGGATATTGAGAAGAAGAATTATTTAAGCTAACATTAGTTCCAGAAACCCAATGGGTGGTCCTCTTTTCAACCTAGCTCAGAAAAGAAAAGTGACTCAAATTTGCTTATCCACATAAATAGATAAAGAGTTAAGATTATGGGAATCAGTAGTTTAAGTCATTATTTTAAATGAAATTGATTTATGAAAAATTATTCTATTAAAGTAGGTAGATATGAAAAAGTTACAGAATGTTCTCTACAAGTATAATTATGTGAGGAGAATCCACAATAAAATAATTCTTGAAAAATTATGGCAATGAAGATTGATAGATAAAAGATTTTTCTTATGAGTTAATAAATATTTATTTTATATTTTAAGGTATGATAATGTCAGGACTCGTATGGGGCTTCTTGTCGGATGCTTTCGGCAGGAAGAAACTCCTAGTCATCGGGTTTCTCTTGGATGCTCTAATGAATATCTTGGCGGGAGCATTTCCCATCTTTCCATTGATGATTCTCTTCAAGTTCCTCGCTGGTTTCATGTAAGTACATATTGTTAGGTTGCATTTCCATTGAAAAGTAAATAAACAGTTTCTTAATAAAATTATATTTATTTCTCACAATTATTTTAAATTATTAAAGTACAAAATATTTCTCAGGTTGGGTTGAAACAATAAACACAATCGTTTTTTTTATGTTATTCCCTCCCTCACCTTTTCAGGCTATATGGGATTTTCTAGGACCGGAGGGTGAAGGCAGGTAATTTTAAAATCCCCTCTGGCACCGAGACGCAAACTCGTACTTTTTTTTTAATCTCATAAATCCGGTTATCTGGTTGCCGGACAACTCGCGGTGCTGTACACGCGCATTAGCCCATTCAGCCACCCCATCCCCTTGGACACTCACTACTTGTCGACTGCCTGCTGGTCTTGATTCTCTTTCTTCGCGGACTGGTTATCTTCTGTTTTCTACATATGACCCTTGCTCCCCCTTCTCTCTGTTTTCCTCTGCCTCTGACAGTAGTTTGTTATGTCACTACCGTGCCACTATTTAAATATACTATGTAATATTTACATTACAATATAAATATATATATAAAAGTTTTTAGTGATTTTCATATTTTATTTTAGTATTAGGAGAGTAGGAGATAACAGGAGCTCAACAGCAGCCCAGTTCTCTAGGCTCGATAGTGCTGCTCTCCTATCGCGATTATTTTACAAATTATACAGCTGTTCAGTAGACAACAGATGAAATAATTAATTAGTTTTTTGTTGATCCATATAATGAATTTCAACCTCCACAATCTGGCTAGAATAAATTTTGAGCCTAATAATGTTTTACTGAATTTTTGGTGAATGCATGTATTTTGTTTTATTATATTTATTTATAATGTCACCAGACCTCATTTAGAGTACTACAAAAAGTACTAAGAACTTAAAGTGAAAAAAATAATTGTGATCATCCATCCTTGATAATTATGAACCATGGAACAAGTATAATGTTATGAATAAAAAAAGTTCTTTATATTAATTATCTGAATAAAATTATTTAATCAAAATATAACGATGGCATTGAAATAAAAACAAATAATCTTACAGGATTTGTGGTCCCTTTCCGATCTTCACTGCTTACATCTCAGAAGTGTATCCAAAGAAGGGTAGAGATATAGCGGTTTTATCAATGGGGTTTTACAATGCCATTGGACAAATACTGCAAGCAGGTTGTTAAAATTAAGATTTTTAATGAAAATATAAATTAGATAATTGTATAAAAATTATATTATCAACTCAATAAATTATATTAACTTATTTATTTAATATATCTAATACATTTTAAATAGGTATGGCCATGTGGATAATTCCAATTCAAGTTCCCAGTGAGATACCATTCACATCCTGGCAGCTCTTCCAGATGGCTTGTTGCCTACCTGCTCTTATCAGTGGTATCGGATGTATCTTTTTCGTTGAATCCCCAAAATTTTTGGCTGACAAAGGAAATCACGAAGGCGCTCTCAAAGTATGCCAGACTATATATTCCATCAACACTGGTAACTTATCTACTACTTATCCAGTAAGTATTCTGAATCTCTCTATATCATTTCTCCTCAGTTAAGACTAATTATATTGGTAAAGAACAATCCATTCATTAGCTGAGGTTATTAAAACACTCTGGACTGAAGTGCCTCAGAATTTCTCTATTCATTCTGTTACGTCCATGATGGGGATGGTTTTTTTTACTCTAAACATAGATTTTCTTTACAAATCGGCCATCCTGTTCTTTTGTTATTCATTCACTCACCCTCACAAACTGGCACTACAGTTCATACGAGTAAATGATTTTGGCCTCCATTAACAGCTTGCCGTAGCATATCTTCTCCAGCAGTGTACACCTAAAGTCTTCAGATCAACCTCGACATCCAGGCATCGCAGTCGAAGCCTCTCCTGCTTTCGTTCACCACCTGGCTTCCTGAAGAGCAGTTTTTTAGGGATTCCAGCAAAGTCCATTCTCTCTATATATCACAAAGGTATGGCAAAGAGCTGACAATTCAACTTGGTGAGTACAGAATACAATGTTGTCCAGAATTCAGATGTTTCGGTAGCTTGGTTACCACCAATAATTTGACAGAATGCCGATATATAAGCCAGAACCACTGTTGGAAACTGCTGCTGATGGGGTTTGCAGAAGGTTCTTAAGATCAAAAATCTCTCAAGAAAGGCAAATATATTAATCTATAAGACAATGGAAAGGCTGACCATCACCTTCGAAGCGAATCTTAGGCTTTAAATGTAGAAAATAAAAGAGTTATGAAAGTTTGGGAAAGAAAAGTTCTTCGTCGTATATTCAGTGAAAGTGGGAGATGCCTGCAAATTAGAACAAATAAGGAGCTGCAGGAGTTGTTTGGAGAGGGTGACATCTATTTTGCAACCAGCTGTAACAAGATTTGAGAATTTCAGAATTGTCAGATAACCTCCTTAGTTATTTAAAAAATGAGATATTAATTGTTAATACAATAGTACATAATAGATGTTCAACTTTACTTATGATAAATCAAAACATAAGAAAATAATTGTTTAATAATTAACAATTACTAACAGAATGGCACTGTTTCATAGATTATTCTCATTTCAGATAAAAAGGCTGAAACATACGGGGAGGAAGAATGAAAAAAAATCTAATTTCTCAAAGTTCTTAGATGGAATGGACATATTTAGACCTCCATTTATTCAGAAGGCAGCGATAATATTTATTATCCATTTAGGAGCGGTTGGCTCGTGAGTAGAATCCAAAGAAATATAACAATAACTACTTTATATTTTAAAAACAAATTATTCATCATAAAATTATAAGCTATGTATTTTATTTTATGTTAATAGAGAACATTGTTTATTTATTTTTTAAAGTATATTCTTTCATTTCTTTTTAATTATAACATTCCAATTTAAAAAAAAAAAAGGATAAATATAACAATTTAATTCAAGGTAGAATGCTAATAATACTGACTAAGAATCCCGTAGTAGAGATAAGTCTAAATAGAAACAGCTGATTAAGATTGAATCATGATCATGAACTGAAGCCATGAAGATGAAATAAGGATAGGAAATAGAATTACAATAAGGAAATTAAATAGGAAATACTCAGAATTTAAGACACGATTAGTTTTGTTATTAATTAATTACAAAGGATGTATTATTAATGATGAGGAAATCAATCAGTCGAGCACGAACCTACTTATTAACAAAAAAATTATTTATTAGTATATAAAAAAAAGTAGTCAATTTCAACGTTTGAAGGAAAAAATCATGAAAAACGAGCTCTAGCTTCATTAACTCCTTGTTTGAAGAGTGGGTGATTTTAAATAAAGAATTAAATAAATAATTTATGAATCACAACGAATTAATATATAATTCATATTGAAAATTGGAAAATGCATAGAATATTTGAATCAAAGAAGGATAAGTCAACTGGAGAATTTTGAGGATTACACAACACCCCATTGCGTGAACTGTATTTGTTTAATATAGTTCAGGTGATTACATTGCATAAAATAAAATGAACATGAAAAATTCTTGGGCTTAGTAACAAAAAAATCCATAAAGGGTTAACGAGGTGCCGAACGGCACAAAGATGGAAGGATTGGGTTAAGGCTGATCTGGTTGGGTTTCAACGGTAGCTGGTAGAGGGAGGTGTGTAGACAGCGATTGGAACCTTTGGGTCCGCTGAACCTTTCATAAAATGCGAAATTATAAACTGAATATATTAGTTTCGAGAGTAAATTAAAAACTATTAAATGAGATTAAATGTTATAATTTATTCTCAAAACATTCCGATTATTTTAACTACCAACCTAATCCAAGATGTTACACAATATCATATTGCCCAGGGCTCCTAGAGATCTAGATCTGGCACTAATAACATGAAATCTATTTCCATCATTTTTAGTGATGGGAGAAAAATAGATATTTGAAATTTCATTTAGTGATCTAGACATTAATACATCTCAAATAAAAAATGACAGCACTAACATTTTTCCAGTTGGTGAACCATGAATAAAAGTATAAAGCTTTCCAATTATTTCATTAAGTGGGAAGGAAATAGATCAAATCTACGGAACAGAGAAATTATGAATCTCAATCTTCTTTTTGTTAATATTCCTATTAAAACGTAATAGCTCAAATTACCTACCAAAGCTATTAGTAAATAAAAAAAACCTAATAACTGTGAAAATGGAATACTTATTCATCTTGTGCTATTGGAGTAGTGAGAGAAATACTTGTGACTTGCTCCATTTTGATTTCAGACACAATGTTTTCCGACTATGGCTGCCAGAAATTTTTACACTTGTTGGTTCATCAACGTTAGATCCCAAAGAAGGAATTTGTCCTCTCCTGTACGAAGGTAACTTGGGAAGAAGCAACTTAACATCAGTAAGGATCAAGTTTTTAGACAAAAACATGTACATAAAAATTTATATAAAAATGTTTATATAATTAATGATATAAAATACTATTAATGAATTATGATTCTTCAGGCAGATTTGAAAAGTGAGGAAGTTTTTTCAAAAATGGTGCTGGTGAATACTGGTTGCCTTATAGCGCAGATAATATTTTTGTTCATCGTGAGTTACATAGGAAAGAAAATAATACAACGTAAGTGACCCACCATTGTGAAGATTTTTAAAAAAAGAAAATTTTTATTAATCTAAATTAATTTTTGCTTTTAGTAAACTGTACCTTGGTGGCTGCAATCTGCTCGCTTTTAATACCATTTATTAGTGCTGATTATGTCATCATATTGGCCTCGATTTTTGTTTCTCTGTTTAAAATTAGCGTCTCTTGCAACATAAGCATAGTTGTAGAAATATTTCCAACAAGAATCAGGTATTTATTTTTTATCAGTTATCAATTAGTTGATTAGGAATGGTTGTTATTATGTTATAAATATTATTTTATATAATTAGAATATTATTATTAGTAGAGGCTGAAAAGGGTATCATATTATTCGGAAACAATTGAACCGATGATGAGCCGAAACGTTGTCATTGCAAGGTAGGGATTGGAAGTGAAAACGTTATTAGTGTACTGTTGGATTATGAAACATAAACTGAAAAATAATTATTTATTTTTCTTTACATGACTTCAGAAGTGAATAATATGTGAATCCACTTCATTTTTTGTAACAAAATAATATTGGTACAACCTGTCTTTATAATGTGATTTTGGCACCACAAGTTATAAAACTTCATTCATACAATTCTCAACATATGTGAACTTTAAAGTTGTGCATTTATACTTAAATATTTATAAATTACTAGCTTTACCCGGCCAAGCGCTGCTGTGGCTTAGCCTGGCAAAATGAAAAAAGAAAATAGAAAGCACATAAGAGTAGATTAGTAGCAAAGGACATCTATCATTTGTAAAAAGTTGGGAAACAAATTTGTCTGTAAAATGGCTTCAATTTAAACTAATTCTAATGATTTTTTTTCCTCATGATTCAAATTGAACATTCGAGTAGAACTTATAAAATTTTCGATTAATCAATAAAAAAATAAAATAAAAAAAATGCTTGCCGACCTTCGGTAGTGAGGAAGTAAAAGGAAACGGCCTTTTCTGAAGAGAGAGCAGTAAATGTTTAAAACTCTACAACTGTGCAACGAACTGTCCGATTTTGATGATTTTTTTTTATTTTGTCAGCAATTCAGCAATCTTTCATATAAATATAGGTATTATCAGTCAAAAATTCTGTACTTTTTTAGTTATCGTCAAATAAAATATTGAATTCATCGTAACATTTTTCAGCTTGTTTTCGGGAAAGTACGTTATACACATAAATTAAAAGGGTTTCAAGGGGAAGACTTTAGCCAAGTTTCGTTAAAATCGGTAAAGCCGTTTTGGTGCTACAGTTTATAAAGACACTTTTTTTGCGGCTTTGAACAGAAAAACATTTACATTTTTATTTTTTTTACATGTATAAAATTACCGTAAGACAGAAGTACTATGCCACAAAACCTTCCCAGGAGTGTATGGAACAACTTCTCAAAGTTTCATGGCGACTGGTTGAATGGTTTAGTAATGCACAAAGGACAAACAGATGGACAGATAGACATATATTCATTTTTATATATATATATATAGATAGTGCAAATATCAATAAAATATTTTTTTTTTCAGAGCAACCAGTGTTAGCGTTTTAATGCTTATCGCAAGAATAGGTATATTATCATTGAACTTTCTAATGGCAAATCTCATCTACAATTATTGTGACTATTTATTCTATGGATTATCGTTGTTTTCATTAGGTAAGAAAATATCTTAAATCTTATAAAAACCAAATATATATTATGCATACTTTTTTATTTTGTCATCGCCTTTCAGGCTATACAGTGTTTTTCCAGGGCAGAGGATTAATGCCAGAGTGAAAACCACCCCTGGCACTGGAACACAAACCTTGTAGTTATTTTATCATATTATCTACAGTTAATCAAGTCAGGCAAAGTGTGTCAGCCCACTCGCCCCTCCCCCCCACCATTATATCTTATGTATTTTTGAAACAAAATTTTTCTCTAACAGAACTTTGTTAAGGTCGCATATTTAAATATTCTAAAGTATGTGATGGCCCAAGGGTCCCATAGTGCACGGTATGGAATGTTGTGGGTTCGATCCCTATTTGGGTAAATTAATTATTATTTCTCAGCAGCCCTGAGCTATGAATCTTAGCACCTCCTTTCTAGTTAGGTTTAACCTTTAGGTTGACATCAATGGTTGACAGGACCACTTATCTGGACTGATTCATGTTTTGCTTACTTGTGAGATCAGACCAGCACCAGTAACACATTCTGAGTAAAAGTAGATTTGAATAGTAGCTTTGGAAATTTCCAAAAGACTACAATTAATAATTTTGAAATGATTTTTATTTTTTGTTTTAGCTACGGCACTACTAATACTTCTGATACCACAGAGGCCGATAGAAGATAATGTTTCGAACCCTTCAACAAAAAGAAACTAACAATGTATCTCATGGACACAATATATATTGTAATTCTAAAATTTTAAAATGTTAACTTATTCTAAATAATGATTTGTTTTGAAAAAGCCTAAGTCTCAACTTTCTTTTCAATATTGTACATAGAAATAAAGAAATGTACTTATATTGACTTATATATGGCAAAAGGTCTGACTTAAATTAAAAGTGAAATCTTTTGAAATACATAATTCAAGAAATGAAATCCCAAGATCAGAACCACAAAGGGGATATGTAAAATAGGAAATAAACTTTTTGTACTTAAATATTTTAATATTATTAATAAAAATTATTAATAATTATGCTGATTTTATTTCACCTGTTAATATAAGTTGTAAGACATTATGCCTGAGAAAGAAATCAAAACATGAAATATAAGCAAGAAATATTGTAAGATAATAATTACGTACTAACTCATTATATTACTCATTTATAACTCATTAATATTATATGGTTTAAAGATCACATTGAGCACACAGTAAATGGAATATCTGAAACTAAATGCACTGAAATGTATTCAAAAGTAGATGGCAACGACTGATCACTAACCATTTGTAATAAGCAAGAGAGGGAATTTGGTTGAGGAAAATCAAGTTGAAGTTCATTAGGGAGAAACGTGAGATACACTTCAAGTTTTGTAAAAAAAAATTATGTAATTTTATATCCTGTTACCTGAAAGTACCCGTGTTTTCAGCAAAAATTAGTACAATAAATTATTGCAAAGCTTTAATTTCTTTTTCTTTCAATGGTCTGATATATATAATAATAGATGTAAATGCATAAACACACTTTTTATTTCTTAAAAAAAAAAAAATTAAAAATAATGATTTTTTGATTATTCATACACTAAAATTTCTTTTTATTAAAATCCCTATTACAGTAATTGATCCGTATTGATAAGTGATGAAAAATATGTTTCTAGGCCTAAAAGCTACGTTTACAATTAAGAAAACAGCTGATTGATTCAATTATTTTCATGAAAACGTAAATACTAGGATCAGGAACATTTAGTTTGTCATTTATAAATACAGATTAAGTTTTATAATGGAAATCTGGGAAAAAAATACAGTTTAATAATTACTTTGCATGTAAAATATTTGAAAAATCATTACTTTTACAATTAAAAAAATATATATATATAAGTTTTCCCTAATAAACCTCAACTTTATTTATATGAACTTAAAACTAATTAAAAGTGGAAGTTTTTCCGAAAGTGTGGTATCTGCAATATTGTTGGAATTAAATAAAAATAAATGGCGAATAATTTTTTTTTTTTTTAAGAAACAAACAACTTAGTTTAGCCGCTCGAAATTCCTGTGTACATGGTTTTAAAAAGAACCAATTCTACTTCCGTTTGAAATAAGTTTTGAGAAGTTTATAGTGAAATAATTTTAATTACTTAATTTGAATATTTTTTTAGTTATCAAATCTTATTAAAAAAAACATGGCACTTGAAAAAACATAAAACTTTAATTTCCTACTTTCCTGCTGGATTTCGGGCAACTGTCTATATAAACTTATTTGTAACTCATGAGTTCTACATAAGCGCTATTTATAGTTGATATTATCGAAATATCGATATTTTAGTTCCAATATTCGATATTATACCATAGATAATATCTACTTCAATATAATCAACTATCGATATTGCCCCTTCTATATATTAATATTTTAATTTAGAAATTAAAATTATAACTATAATTTTCAGAAAGCGCTAGGGAATTACATATGAATCTGACAGAAAAAAAATTTGGTGCGGTGTGAGCATCACACAATTTTTACTAACCACCCTCTTCTTAGTAGAAATAAGTATTTTCAGAGAAAGGGAAAGTGAAAATAAAAATAATAAACGCTATATTGATTTATATTTCATTGTGGATATTTTTATTTATTTAAGTACCCTTGTATATACAAATTTTAATATTCATATCGCTGTAATCTATACAATTAAATACTAAATAATACCACCGAAAACATATTTAGGATATTTAGGAAAACCGCATATGCATATATGTACATAATATTGTTGGAGTCTGTATTATATTAAGCTCGTGTTAAGGATGACAGATTGTTCTAATCTTCGGGTGAGCTCGACCGAGCTCGTTTCCCTTTCGTTTCTTTATTACAACTATTCTCTGTTATGATATCTTATTTCTCCTTTTGTTAATTGTAAAATTCTTACATATTTTAGATTTAACTATTTTTTATATTAGAGATCAATGTGAAATGGTTAATTGTTTCAAATAAAAAATAAATAAATAAAGGTACTTCAGAGGAAGCTAATATTGAAAATTAAACATTTAAGCCCTGTTAGAGAACATAAATGAGAATAAAACCTACATTATATTATAAACAGCTTAATTTTACACTGATATAGTGAATTTAATCAAAATCGTTAGAGCCGTTTTCGAGAAAATATTAAAAATGTGTTTCATCGATGATATAAAGTGCCACTTCCAGTTAGCCAATTTTGACGAAAAAGTTGCTGTAACATCTCAGGTATATACAAACCTTAAATATGCAATTTCACTTTCATACGAATCGTTTTCGAGCTAGACCTGTCACATACAGACAAAACACAAACACACAGAGACCATTTTGCGGGACTTGGTTATTTGGACTCAGGAGACCTCAAAACATATATTTCGGTTGAAAACTCAGATTCGAAAATTTTCACGATCGCAATACTGTCCCTTACTATATATTTCATATATAGGCAAGTGAAAGTAAAAAATTCACTCAACTTGCCACTTTCATGTGGAATGCGTAGTAGAGGGAAATATCGATGCTGGGGAACGGTGCTGAGACTATCGGTGTGTCCCTGGCCTGAGGTATCGAAGCTTTATTTTAAAACTTTGAAGAGGATCCCATTGTTAACTTATAAAAAACCGGGATCGAAACGTCGAATAAACACAGAATCAATGAATATTTAGTAGTTTATTGAATAATTAATAAGTGACCTTTTTTCCCAATTAAATATTTATGTGTCCCGTAAACAAAGGGAAATATTATAAATCGATACCATCAAATTATCGGACTTAATATATCGATAGTTGATATTTCCATCGATATTATAAACATTTTTGAAATATGAATATGAATATTGATTCTCAATGTTCATATATATCAATATATACATTATATATCAATATTGATATTGATTGTATATTATCTACGATTTTTATAATTATACCTTAGCTTTCACCACTAGCGGATCCAGGTTTTAATTTTGGGGGGAGGGAGCTTCAGCCCGAAACATTTTTTTTCATATACATATAACGATAATTAATATGAAAAAAAAATAAAGAAATTAATTACCTATATGAAATAGTGTTTAAGTGGTACTTGAAGTCCTATTAAATATAATTACACGAACAAGAATACTTTAAGAGATAGTTTTTAATATTTTTTTCTGTAAAACATGGTTATATTTTTGGGGGGGGAGGGCTTCAGCTCGAAAGCTCCCCCCTCCCCCTCCGTAGATCCGCCAGTGGCTTTCACTGTTTTTAAGAAAATGTAAGCACTGCGCCACTGTCTATAAATATGTAAAACCAAAAACGGTTCATTTCCTTTCAAATTAATATTAACCGTTAAATAAAAACTTTTACAAAACCATAAATTGTTCATATACATCCGAGACCTTATACTAATAGCACGAATCATATTTTCAGTATCTTAAATTTAAATAACGAATTTTAAAAAGGTTTTAAAATGCATTGATATTTCAACAACACCAACGTATTGCCTGCCAACAGTTCTAACTGATTAACAGCATCAATTGAAATTAATTTTGCGGCCATAACATCGCTCTACACACAGTAGAGCCTGTGTACGAGGAAAGAGAGTAAGTTATTTTTAAAGGAATTTTTATCATTATATTATCTTTATTATCAATATTACATTATATTTATGATATATTATATTTGTATTTATATTTTTTACAACATATTAGGGAGGTACTCCTTGTCTACCAAACCGCGGACCAACCCCCATTTTACAAATTATACAACTGTTCATTTAATTGTACTATTCGTTGCTCAAATTGTATAATTGTAATTGACATATATTCTATAGTTCAGATTGTATTATTTTTATCAACATAAAATAAAATAAATGAAACGAAAGTTCGGACAAATTTTAAATTTTTTCACAAATCTGTGTTCTAGATCGCGTCTTATTGACAATTTTTATAATTATTCTTATTGCCAATTCGTAACTATAATATATATTCAACTTGTCCAGCTTCAAATAAGCCCAATATCATTTGAGCCTTTTATTTCCAATATTTTCATTGTTCGTTATACTTTGCTTCCTTTCCTATTTCATAATAATTATAATTACATCATAATATAATATAAATATTATGATAATTAATATATTCTATTCAAGGAAAAATTTCTGGATCGAAAAATAAGTGCTGTTAGCAAGGTAAAATCAAACTACCACTTCCAGATGAAAATACCATTTTCCAAACAGATTTTTTGCCTAAAATCATTTTGTATTAGGAGAGTAGGAAGTAACAGGAGCTTAACCCATATGTAATTAAATGAATAACTGTATAATTTGTAAAATTAAAGTGGAAAATGACTATTTCGAAAAATAACTTTTATTTAAAGTATTATTGTTCGTCTAATTACATTTAAAAGGACTTAAAGAATCACTTAAAGACCATTTCACGTAAGCAATTGGTTTCTTTCTTTCTTCCGAAGTAATTATTGTAATATATGCATACAAAAAAAAAATCTTTCGGGTTGAAACCTCCCAAAATTAAATCCTGCATCCGTTAGTGTTCGACATTAAGTACCTACATTTTTTAACTTGTTTAAATGTATTCCCTTCTACATCTTGTTTACCGAAATCATCAACGATTCTGTAGCTAACTTTATATTTGTTTTATTCGTATTTCTTTCGAGTACCAGTACTTTCTTATCAATGTTACAGATTTACTATTATAGTAAAATTATAAAGGGAAAGTAAATTTATTTCTTTAATTTCTGTAAAAAAAAAAAAAAATGTTCTTAACTATTCGTAAGAACTATGTATATTGTTATAAATTTAAAAAATATAATGTTTTGTTTTTCAGTCACGTTTAAAATTCAATACCACTTAAATTGGATGAGCTAATTGTCTTCGAAGGTTTCCTGAAACGAAATTTAACGATCTTTATTATGACGCAATCCTATTTCGTATTAGAATCATAATAAAATCAATAACTTTGCAAATTCACGAAAATATAATTAATCGGACTTGTAAACGGTCGAAAAAAGTTTACTTGGGGTTGGATCACATTGGTTCAAAAAGA